ACTCCTTCCTACATTCAGATTCCTTCCCACAGCTTCTCCTTGTGCTTACTGAATATCTGCCTCTCTCTAGGCCCTTTCTTCACTCTCTAGCAACCAGAGAAAGCCTGCAGAGTTCTTCCACCCTCTCCCTGGGGCCTCCTTCTCATCAGGGCTTCCTCCCTTTATGTTCACCACCCGGCTCCTCCCCAAGCTGGGCTTCATCTTAAGCTGGACCTGGCCCACCCTCCAGGCACCACCATGTGCCTTAATTGAGCTCGCTAACTCCAGTTAACCCTTTCAGTGCCAGTGTGGGGTATATAAACCATCATATTTGTGTCTGACCATGAATTTGCCCCTCATAATCCATCTTTCTTCCGTGGGGGAACCCTGGGCCAGTCACAGCCTCCGTGTGCCCAGGGTTTGCTCATTTGTACAATGCACATAATGAGAATGACCCAAGGCTTCATTACCTGATGCTACTAAAACACTCGCCCAGTCGCCCCTTTCCGTAGATATAGCCACAAAAGAAAATTGCTGGTGGGATGCTGCGGGGATTCACCCACAGATTGCAGGGACCCATGAGAACTGGAGGGGAGGAAACTGAGAGAGTGGGAAGAGTGAGTGCACCCAAAGGATTCAGAGGCAAAGGGAGGAGGGAAACAGGCGTCAGCTGGGCAGGTAAATAGGGTTGAGGGTGGCTTTCTAGGGTGGCAGGGGTTACCAGATTCTGTACAAGACTGCAGGGGAGTAGCCAGAGGAGAGAGGAAGGGACTGAGGGGACTCAGACATCAGGAGGGAGTAGGGATGAGGGGTTAGAAGTGGGCACTAGGAAGGAGACAGTGGCAAGGCCCTGGGCAGGGATGAGAAGAGGCTTTGAGAGGAGTGCGGATTGGCAAGGAGTATCTCTGTAGGCTGGAGGGGCAGGAGTCAGTCAGGGGGAGAATGGCTTTACAGTAGGGGAAGCCCCTGGTTCCTGGACTTTCCCCAGTGGTGCTGGGCAGTGCAGGAGTGGAGGAATTGGAGGCTAGAAGAGAGGCTGGGGTTGGTGGGACAGACATAGCGCCAGGTGTGGACATCCATATAGCTCCTTGACCACAGGGGCAAGGCCTCCTGCCCTCTCGCACCAAGGTAGGAGATGGGCCATGGTGGGGCCATGCAGGTCATGAGGGAGAGGTATTTTACAGCATTTGTGAAAAATTCCAGCCCCTCTTAATCCCCGGGGCTCCTCTGAAACCGTGACACACAGGAAGGAACCAAACAGGAAAGAATTAGAGGAAAATGCCTCTCTTCTTGTAGCCACCTTGGCTGTGCCAGGAGTTAGCAGCAGCCGCCAAGCAGCCAGCCCTGCCTTCCCGCTCCCCCAGCTGCCTCTGTAAACACACAGCGGCTTACTCAGAAGATTAGACCCGAACGGCGCAAAAGACAAGAGTCTCTTTTGTAATGGGAGTGAGATTAAAGAATCAAGTGACCGGCTGCAGCTCCCAAGTGGGTTTCAGGCTCCTTAGAGCACCCGGTCTCTGTCAGGTTCAATCCCGCATGAGCCTAGGGGGCGGTGGGAGGAGGGGGGTGGCGTGTGCCAACAAAGGACCCAGCGAGGACACATGCAGAACCAAACTTCCCAAGTCTCCTGTGCAGTCCGGAAGCCTGTGCCGGTAAGTACTCGCACCCCATGGGGCTTTATCACATGGCTGGAAAGATTCCCTCAGGGACTGCTAGTTTGATCTGTCTATGTATAGTATTATACCATGCCCATCACCATGGTATATTAGCATCCGTCTTTCTTTTTGTGGACACTTGATTGGGTCTGTCTGTCTGTCTGTCTGTGTGAGTGTGAAAGCTGGTGAATGTCCATCAGTTTCTGGATGTGATTGTTAATCCAAATGGAATGACCAGAACTATTCAGCGAATAACCAGGCAGTGGCTGTGTAGATGGTGGGAGAACAGACCTCACCCATACAGAATGCCGGGCAGCCGGGTATCTGGCTATGCAGACTCACTGTAAATGAGGTGCGAGTGTTTTTGTCTCTTTCTGCTTGTCTATCCCAGATCCCGATATGCCAGTCCCAACACTGACCTTACGCTGCATTCCCCCAGCCCCAAAGGGCAGAGAAAGCCAACCATCCAGTCCCATCCTGCAATATTTCCACCCCAACGGGCAGGATGGCAGGGAAACTACCTTAACCATAGCAAAGGGGAAAAGCAGGGGAAATGGCCCGGGCCCTATGCCTGCAGCAGAGGAATTAGATGGAGGTGGGAAACAGCCATTATTTACATAAAGAAGAGCTGAAGTTTTCCATGTTTGGTAAAAATTTATTCTGCATTTGAGTTATGTAATGAAGAGTCTCCCTGGGCGCTTTGAGACATGAACAGCGCGCCTGTAACACACACAACACAGCCAGCTCTATCTAATAGGTCCCCAATATAGCTATGTAAGTGTGTGTACCTTTCTGGGACATAGCCTATATGTGTGCAGGTTATAGAGCAGTTAAAGTTGCAACCAGCCTTCTAAGTCCTAGAAACATATATGAAAATGTACACATATAATGGGCATTACAAGAGGAGTTATCTACTTGGCAGACAAAGGTCCCAGCTGTGTAGCTTTCTGGTATCACAGTGTGGGCTGAGAGCTAATTGTCACTGAAAATGCAACACAAAAGACACTGCCAACGCAGTAGCATCTTCAGAAAGAGTAATAACGCTGGATATGTGTGCGTTCCTTTTGGGATGGAGGGTCAAGTTGGTCTTTGAGATGGTCAGCAATGCAGATTTCCCAGCTTTCCAGGTCCATTTCCCAGGAAGAGGGTTGATTTCATGCTTTAAAGGGCACCTGCAGTTTGGGAGCATCAGCTGGGAGTGAACACTGTCTTGTATTCAACAATGTGTGTGTGTGTGGAGGGAGTGGGTAATGAATTCACAAGTGAACAAAAGCTAGCAGGTTCAGATATGGATAAATATTCATGAATTTGAAAAAAGAAGCACACATTCAACGGTATAACTTGTATTAGTCTGTCCAATAGAGGCGTGCAGGTTCTGAACTGATATTTCATTACATCCGTTTTATGGTGGTGTAACTTCTCTTGTTAATTATTATTATCATTATTATACACTCAAGGTTGTGCTAGACACCTAGTCATTAAGCTTCCCAGTGCTATTAACAGACACTGTGCTACTGGAGGGGTTGATTTCATTTCCTGAACACATTTCCTCCCTCAACATGATTCATTATGAAATATTCTGATTTAATTTATGGTTGGAGAGGTACTGCTGGAATTGCTATTCCTACCCCGGGCATGCTCTGTCTCCAGCACACACGCATGGTGTCCGGGGATGCTGTGCTGTACTATCTTTCAAAATCAGGACAGACCCATCCACCCAACACCCAGCTCAGCATTGGGGGGAGCTGTCACTAGCTACAGCAGAAAGTTCTCCATTGGCCTTTATTTGAATTTGTGAAAGAAATCACTCTGCCAGTGTTCTTGCAACTTGTGTGTTCATTTTCCAAGAACAGCCTAGGAACAAGCTTCCTGGCAGGGATGGTTGCCAAAAGAACCAGCAAAATTGGAATTCACGAACCTGAGTCTTCATAATAAATACCTGATTCTAGGAGTTAGGCTCATCGAATCAGGGAACAGAAACAATATCACACAGGATCTATGTCCAGTCCAACTAACCAACTAAGCTTGAATTTTGACTATCATAGAGTCCTATGAGATGAGACAACTTCTTGATAATGGTTCAGTGAATACATGGCATAGCAAATAAATGCTAGAACGTTGCAACAGCTCACAAGCAATTCATGGTCAGAAAAGAGGTGACACTCGTTAAATGGGTTATTTACGGTAAACTATTCACTCCTCTTTCCCCTGTGCTGCTGGAGTCACTTTCCTTCTCAACCTGGACATACACTATCATCCACCGCCTCAGCATGGCGTTGGGGCACATTCTTGCAAGAGGTGCTGTCTGCTACTCTCAGCGTGGTGTCAGGGACATGGCCTTGCTGGAGGTGCTGTCCTTCAGAACGTGGACACACACCTGCGTCCAAGCCCAGCATTAAGAGGACAGATACTGTGTTGTTGCCAGTGCTGCCCTTCATGTGGGGGGATACATGCTTTTCTCCCCTGCCTGATCATTGTTCTCATTTGTCCTTAATTCCCAGAGGCCTGATGCAAAGCCCACTGAAGTCAAGGGGAATTCTTTCTCAATGTACTTAGTGCTGGGGAAAGTTGTCTGAGCAGCAGCTCTGGGCAGCAGGGACCATTTCTAGGGCCTGATCCACTGCCCTTTGAAGTCAATGGACCAAAGGCATCAGCCTTCTGCTGAGGCTGCCAACAGGGGGCCAATTCTCCTCTGCTTTGGAACATACTCCAGAGATGTCTTGGTCTTGAAACCTCCCCCAGCAGAAATGCAGAGTGAAATGTCTAATAAAATAAACACCGGAAAGCTGTAAACCGTGATGTTGAGAAACTGCAAACACTGACGTAACTGCCAGGAAGGGTAATCCTTCAAAGAAGGGGTCCACTACCCAAGAGGCTAGGAAACCTATAGTATGAGGAGAATTCAACCACAGGAAGCTTTCCTTTGCCTTCCCAGCCTTTACACTTTCTCCTTGGACAAGCTGCACTGGGGGAGGAGGACTCCCCAAAGCTGACGTGAATGGAACAGGACGGGCAAGAAGATGTGGATGGCTTCTTCCTTCCACACCACTGCCACCCACCCCCAGCCCCCACCACTTGTGCTCATCAAAGAGCCACAATTCAAGCCAGAGCATTCGTTTGTGGGTGGGATCAACACACTTTGCTGTTCTCTGATCTGTTTAAACTATCTCCACTTCGTCCTGGAGATGTGCCCAAGCCTGATTTAAAACATTTCTTAACAAACTGCCTCCCCTCATCTTCCCCTCCCTCTTCCTCTCTCTTCTCATCCTCCCCTTCTCCACCAACCTATCCCTTCCCTGTTTCTGTCTCCTGTCTCCACCTTTACCTCGCTCCTTCTTCCCCATTCTCTTTCTGTATTATCTACCTTTCTCTCTCCCCTCAGAGCCTTCTTTCTTTCTTTTTCTTCCCTTTACCCTGTCTTCTCTTTTTCCACCTTTACACACATTCCCGGGGGCTTTACATCACTTCCCTGGAGTCTGCTTTCAGACCTCTTCCCCTCCAAGCAGAGCTGCCAATCACCCAGGCTCTAGGTCTGTGTCCCAGTCACTGTGTCTCTGCCGGAGCAGCAGGTGTGACCCTTTCTCTCTCGTTCCTGCCTTCAAATACTTTAAGCTGGTTCTGCCACCCATCCAAGGGGCACTACAGAGCTCAAGGAATTGGTAGTGAATAGGAAGCCTTTTGCTACTAGGTCACAGGATAAACCTAGGCCAGGTCAGTTAGTGGCTGAATATTGATACCACCGAGTGGCTGCTTTGAGCTGGTCTGTGTGACAGGAGTTAGTGCTCCCAGCCCAGATCTCAGGGAACAGGTCAAAATCCACCATCGCAACTGGCTCCAATCTGCCCCCTTGTCAGCTACGTCTGAAGAGAGACCAAGGACTGAATGGAGACTGTGCTCCCTTCGTGCCCCTACAGAGGCGCTTTGGGAGGGGCACCTAGCACTGCCATTGGCCATGCTCAGGGCTGTCCATCCAGCATAGTCCAGAGCACTGAATAACAGTAATGACAGAGCCCCTTCCCTGTTCCTGAGCCTCAGTTCAGCGGCTGGGAATGGCAAGAGTCAAACACCAATCCCAACACAAAGAGACCTTAGCAATGCATTGTCCTGGGAAGGGAGGAAGGGTAAAGCTGGCAAACCCTTCCCCCTCCCAGCAGCAGAATGGATTCTACTGGTAACTGTCCCAGTTACCAGTGGAAGAATCTCTCAGAGAAAAGGCCTGAGCAGTCCCTTCAAGGAGACCTGGACACACCATCAGCTTCCCCCACAGCACCTCTGCCCTCCGCTCTCCCTGGGACACTGGCCAGACTTCTTGCTTGCAACAAAGTTTGCTCTGTTGTGGGTTAGGTTACTGGATATGGATCTTTTATGCAAGACCAATCTGATCCAGGCTTTTTGCAGTGGATCCTTTGAGGATTCCTTCGAAAAAATTACGAGAAACATGGTGTATTTTAGCAAGATTCGTTTTTCCTGAGACAGCAAATCTACAAGTTCTACAGGCACCCAGATACTGAGTGATGGGCATGGTATAAACACCTAGATAGATAGATAATGGTAAATCAGGGAAAGATAATGGTAAATCAGGTAGAGATATGTCCTTCTGAGTCTTCCACAGCCAGAGGCTACCAGTCCAGATGTTTCATTAAAGTGCCAGGGCTCAGCTCCAACCTAAACCATAGGAAATTCAACAGGCCCACCTCCAACTAGCACATATGGGCCAGCCTCACTACTTCCTGATGTTCTGGACTGTGTTTGCTTTTGATGAATGGGCCGTGGCATGATTCTCTGAATTGGATTTCTGGGCCTACCTGAAATGGACTTTGGGGTGTCCCCAGGAAGAGAAGAACCTGAGTTTCTGTGCACAGCTGGGATGGACTCCTAGTTTTTCTGTTTCTGGACAGCGTCCCCACACTGCACAGAAATCCTTTACTAGCATATCATGGGTACCCCTTGCTGTACCCCAGCCTCCTTCCACCCCCTTAGCAGGTTTCCGGATGGCCTCAGTGTCTCCATGTTTTGTTTCTCACAGGCTCTGTGATGACGGTGACGTACACAAATCGAGTAGCTGATGCCCGCCTTGGAACCTTCTCGCAGCTCCTGATCCGATGGAAAGGGAGTATCTACAAACTCCTCTACTGCGAGTTCTTCATCTTCATCACTCTCTACTTCAGCATCAGCCTCACTTACAGGTAAGCTTCCTCTTTCAACTGAGCCCTGAGAGACCCATCCAGGTTCTGCCCATTGTTCGGGCTGTGTGGGTTGGAGGAAAATGATACTGACTACTGGGGAAAAGGAACTGGGCAAGAAATGTTCAGTTCAGGTCCTAGCCTGGTGAAGCAGTGTCAGTGATGATGCATTGCAGAGGTTCCATTTCCCAAGAACAGCCAAGACTTGCTCCCTGGATCTGCTGAGACGTGAAGAGAGGAAAGCTCTTTCCTCACTGTTCCAATATAGTTTACTATCTGACAGCTTTTCATTATCAATGGGGTTAGAGTTTCTCCCAGGTTACTCGTGAAATATACACAGGGTGACCCTTCTCCTTAGAAGAAGCCTGGATTCTCTGTGAAGGGAAAGTAAGTTATGTATGATGGTTACCCATCCTTCCAGAAAAGAGCAGTTTATGGTTAAATTAATGCAGATAAGCTGGATGTGCATATACAGGGGACATCTCCACTCCTCAGGAAGATGGTTTCTCTGGGCTTAGATAGTGGAAGTACAGAGGATAACCCCCGGAAGGTTGCTGTTGGGAAGAGATCCCTTAGATGGCACAGCCTGGCATTTCCTCTGGTGTCTCTCATGGAGCAGACAGAATGATTGGGGCTACTAGTTTGTCGTGGAGTCTGGTGCGGGGGTCATGTGTTCTGTGACTCTGTTTCTTGGAGGGAAAGTCACTCAGCTCACGCAGCTGAGCTAAGGTGTATCTAGGTGGCACTGAGGCCAAGGCAGGAAAGCAGCTCTGTATAAAGGCAGAAGCAGCTCCTTCCCAGTTTGCTACTATTAGAGTCTGAATGACAGGCATCAGAATAGAGATTACAATTAATTTAAATTCACCGGGGTGCTAAATCCAGTTCAATGGTACATTTCTGGTATCGTACAACATCTCTGTACTGGCCACTACGCCTCTCCTGGCTTGGACATTTGTGTATTGCCCATAGAGTCAGAAAGAAGGGGTCAGGCATTGCTTCCGATAGTCAGGCCTAGTGGCTGCAGCCTGGGCCACAGCTCGGCATAGGATTGGGCCTGAGCCAAGCGTGGTCCTGGAATCAAGATCTGGGGGCAGGCTGGAGTCAAAACCGAAATCAGAGTCTGTAGACAGGATCGGAACCGTAGCCAGAGTCCAGGTGCAGCCAGAGATCGAAGCTGGGTGGTCAGAGTCCAGAGACAAGACAAGCTGATACCAAAGCCGGAGTCCAGACAGGCGCCGAAGGTAGAAACTGGATAGTCAGAGTCCAGGGGCTGGGGGGGGATCCAAAGGCAGAAGAAAGGTTGGAGCAGGTCAGTGACACGGCTGGAGTGAGGCTACTGCAGGGCAAGGACAGGGTTCAGGCGGGACTGGGGCTGCAGCTGGAGTCTGGTGCACTGCGAGGCAGCAGGAGAGCTCCTGGCTGGGTAGCACTGTTACTCCGTCTGCTCTGCTCTGCACCTCTGCTGGGGTTGTGGAAATACCTGAGCCTGGGGTCATCTGACGCAGTCTCTGCTACTGTATGCCTGAGGGCTGACAAACTCGCTGCAGCACCTGAGCCAGCAGCCCTAGTTTGCCTCACAGCAGGCCAGGAAGTATCTCCTGAGCTGGCCACTGGGTCATTTCCTTTAGCACAGACATCTCCTAGATGGGATGGCAACATGTTTCTTGTGGTGCGTCCCCTGGGTAAGACAGAGTGGAGCTCCCTGGGACACCTCTCCTGGGTTGACAAGCGAGGTGTTTCCCATGGAACATCTCCTAGGTCAGGGAGCATAGTGGTTTCATTGGCTTTGCTCATGGACTCCCATCCACACAGGGCTGGGAAGGGTGAAGTCTCTTCTGAGCGGCTGATAGCGAGACTGTGCCTCTGGGTTTCCTTTGCAGGCTGATCCTGAATGCAAGCCAAAGGCTGATGTTTGAGAAGCTGGCTCTGTATTGCAACGACTATGCTGAGCTGATCCCTGTGTCCTTCGTGCTGGGTAAGGAGTGTGTGGTTGGGGAGTGGGATGGTGCTTCCCCTTCCGATCCGGACAATGCGCTGCAGGCCTGTGGGATGCATGGGGGACATAGCCAGCCACTCCTCCCCCGCAGACCCTGCTCCATCAGGCAGGTGTCTGGATGGACTCATTCGGCCAATTCCGCCCTAGGTTTCTACGTGACCCTGGTGGTGTCTCGCTGGTGGGGACAGTACGAGAGCATCCCATGGCCCGACCGCCTCATGAACCTGGTCTCCAGTAACGTGGACGGGCAGGACGAGTACGGGCGACTCCTGCGGCGCACCCTGATGCGTTACAGCAACCTCTGCAGCGTGCTGATCCTCCGCTCCGTCAGCACCGCTGTCTACAAGCGCTTCCCCAGCACGGAGCACATCGTGCGAGCAGGCGGGTCCCCTCTCCACCTCTAGCGCAGCTGCCAAGCCCAAGTCCTGGGAGGGCTGCCTGGGTCGCGGTGTGGGGGCAACAACTGCATGGCCCCGGGATACAGAGATACCCACTGGAACCCGCATGGCTCAGGAGACCAGGGCGAGGGGGGCAATCTGTGAAATCCAAACTAATCTGTCTGACCCGGACAGGAAGGGCCGGGGACAGGCAATGAGCATTATGGGCGCAATTCTGTAAGGTGCGAAGTGACTGCTGGAGGTGCTGATCACCTGCCACTGAGATTTCTGGGGCACTCCCAGCCCATCCAGGAACGGCTCAGGCTTGAGCCCTATGTCATTAGGAGAGAATGCATCTTTGAGATCGACCTAGCCAATCATGGTTTTTCCTGTTGTTTGAGCTTCGGAATAGTGCAATTGAAGGCTAGTTTCTGATCACAATGAATTTGTCCTCTACTGTGCGCATGCATGCACGTTGGTTAGTGCAGGTTTGGGGCTGTGTACCTTGATTTGTTATTGCAGGGCTGTTCCTGAGGACACTGGGCTGTATACACTTGCTCTTTATTGCAGGGTTCATCAGCAAGATGTAGTGGCAGGCTCTGGTTTGTTTCTGTAGTGTCACTGGGAAGAACAGGATGGCTTTCCTTCCTGCTCCCATTGACACTTTGTTATTGTAGGTTTGCTCATGAGCTGCGCTGACATGGTGAAATCCACCCCCCCCCCACCCCCACTGCAAAGGGCCAGCAGAGTCCTCTGCACTACTTGAGCCTTCAGCATGAGTCTAAGTGCTGGGGCTTGAACAGGCCTCCTACACTGAGGTGGATTTTGCCCAGGATCAGTCATTGTTGTGCATGATTAAGCATTGTAAGTTATGCTCATGGGGGGGTGGCTATTGACAATTTGTGTACTGTTGGAGGGGAGGGAGGGAGTACACATTAAGAGAATAACACAGGTGAAAGAAGCACATAAAGGCAAATAAAAGTTGAGTCTCTCATATCCGCAAGTCTCATAGGCATTCCTGACCTGTTTCTCAGATTGTTGCGCTCTCTGGTGGTCATTGAAGGTCATTGCTTTTCATTCAGCTTTTTAGTTTTTTACCTTGTTTTCTCTGGTTTTGTTAAATATGGTTTGTCTTTGTCAATCAGCAAATCAGCACCTTGAACATCAGGTTTACTTCAAACATAGAGCAGCTCATAGCAAAGAGAATTCTGACAGCAGCTTAGCTGCAGGTAACCCCAGACAGTAACGATGTGATCAGAGATTTCATCTCTTTAAAGGCCTTTTGTTGATAATGATCTCGACCAGATAGGATTCGTGGTCAGAGGCCCTGGGGGTTTTTCACCTTCCTCTGCAGCGTGGGGCATTGGTCACTTGCTGGAGGATTCTCTGCACCCTGAAGTCTTTAAACCACGATTTGAGGACTTCAATAGCTCAGACATAAGTCAGGGGTTTGTTACAGGAGTTGGTGGGTGAGATTCCGTGGCCTGCGTTGTGCAGAGGTCAGACTACACGATCATAATGGTCCCTTCTGACCTTAAAGTCTGTGATTAAAGTCTATGATTCAAAGGTGCGTTCTGAGCAGCAGTTTGGAAGCCAGCAATTTGGTTGTTTTAGTTCTCGTACTGACTGTGGAACCTTGAGCAAGCCACAGCTGTCTTGTGCCTCAGTTTCCCCATCTACAATTCCTCCTATTTACCAAAAGGAATGATAATAGTTTTTATCAGGGGTGTTGCAAGGGTTATTTAGTTGTGTGGGATGTGTCCAATGTTGTTAGGGGGGGTGCTTCGTGGGTGGGACATCTGTTATTCCTCTTCAAAAGGCATGACTGCCTGACATGAATGACACATTCCAGAGCTAATGCATCGCACATTTGTCCCCAGTGGGTTTCCATAAAAGCCTCTTCTTACAAAGCAACAGTGAGCCCCAGCATTGAGAACAAGGAGAGAGGACGCCAGGTTTCCGGGTGTGAGTGCTGTGAGACCTAGACAGGCTTCACTAGGTACACAGGGTAATTGCAGTCTGCTCCAGAGAAGTTTGTAATTACATGGCACTGACCCTGTAAATATCCTGCTCCTCTGGTGTAAACGCCTCATGCAATACCTGGTGCTTACAGATGCTTTCACTGGAAATACCCTGACCCATGGGCCCCATCCTATCAATACTCTGCCCCTTCTGGGTAATTATTCTGGAAGTTACCTGCCCTCTTAGGGTAATTGCCTCCAAATACCCTGCCTCGAGATGGACCTACCCCACAGATATTCTGCCCTTTGGAACTACTCCAGCTTGCACCTCTTAGAACTACTTGGGCTACTCAAAATTATGCCAGGACTGGTTCGGCCAAAGACCAGGACAGAAGAAAGATAGCTTAAGAGCTTTCCCCCTTCTCCCCTCTGCTCCTACACAGATCACAGCTCGCTCAGACCCAGGAATAAGGGCCACTGAGTGCAACATAGGTGTAAAGAACTACCAGATCAGATGCACAGGGGATGTGGCAGCAGGAATGAGCCCCTCTCTATCAGACAGTGGGAGCCTGGCCCTTTGAACACTGACTGATTTTCCACAATGAGAGAACTCTTAGGACAATCTTAGGATGTGCAATGCTGACCTCTAGACAGGGAACACAACCGGTGTGGGAGGTTGTGTGTGTCACAGTGGAGAGCTCAGAGGTGCATGCCAAAATTTTGGAGAGGCACAATCCCCAACCAGTCAGAACTCCAGTCAGGCTCTGCTGCCCTAAGGGCTCTGCCCCTGGATCCTCTCTCTCCTTGGTCCAAAGCTGGCCTGCTCGTTTGCAGGGCCAGAGGCATGTGGGGACAGGCACATGAGTTTCCACAAGAGACTGGGCCAGCCTGTGAGCGGCAGAACTTCCCTGACTCCATGGGATCTCCTGATGTGTGGGTCAATTTGCTTTGCTAGGTGAACACCCACCCCTGGCTTCCCTTTCCCTGCGGGTTTTTCATGTGTCAAGGAAAGACTGGAAAGGAGAGGCTCTCATTGTCTTCCATCCCCCATCTGCTCTTGCCCATTTAGGCCTCATGACCCCAGAAGAGCACAAGAAGTTTGAGAGCCTGAACTCTCCCCACAACAAGTTCTGGATCCCCTGTGTGTGGTTCTCGAACCTGGCTGTGAAGGCACGGAACGAGGGCAGAATCCGGGATAGCGTGATGCTCCAGGGCATCCTGAACGTGAGTTCTGGAAACAGCCAGAGGGCATGTTAAGAACGAACCAGCCCTGCCCTCCTCTCTGGGTGGAGCTTCCTGCTGGTCCCCCAGGGGAGCAGGGAGGGTGAGGTGGGGCTTAGAGACTGTACCAGTCACATCCGTGGTGTAACTCTATTAACTTCAATGGGAAACGTGCTCACTCATATCTATCACTCAATGGAGTGGAGAAAATGGGACATTAGTCCAATGCGGTGTGGGGTCCACTAGAACAGCAATTGTCTGAGACAGCCCAGGACTCTAGACGAGGAGACGGTTGCTCTTCTCTCACCCTGCTTTACAAGGATGTAATGCCATTGACTCCAGAGGAGTTACTCCCAGTTTGCACTGGTGTGAGAGGAGAATCAGGCCCTGACTCCAGTAGAAAAAGGGTCCCTTCAGGACAAGCCAGAGGTCCCACTGGTGCTCCAGTGTGGTGGTGGGGAGGGCAGAAAGCTCAATATTTAAGAATGGGCAGAGCCCAGGAGTGACTGACCATAGAAAGTGAATTCCCTGCCCTACCTGGGAGGTATGTCCCCTTGGTGGAGGAGTCTGGAGGGGAAGGAGGATGGGAGAGTGTGAGTGTGAGGTAGCTTTTCTGTGGAGGGGAGCCATTCCTTTTTCTCTGGTGTTCCCCACTCCAGGAACTAAACACCTTGCGTAGCCAGTGTGGGCGACTCTATGGGTATGACTGGATCAGTATCCCGCTGGTCTACACTCAGGTGAGTGCAGGAGGTCTTCTGTAGCCGCTGCCATACCCAATGGCCTCTGCAAGGCGAATTACTGCAAGACACAATGTGCTGGGAAACAGGCAAGGCTCTTTAATACACATGTGGTTCTCCACATACCCACCCCTCCCCATAGACCCCTAGATATGCCCCATATCCACACATGGACTCCCCCCCAGTGCACACCCTACATACACAAACTTACCCACACACACAAACACCGACTTATGCAGCAGACACGTGTATCCCAGCACACACGCACCGATTCCAGGCATGCACACCCACATTCCTCATCAATTCACAGACAGACAACCCATAGACAAACCTATGGTGGGTGACTCGCGTGTCCCCACACACGCCATACATATGAATGAACTCCAGACACACACACACACGTATACCTCCTACATATATACACCTCCAAAGCCTGCTCATCAGCCTGGAAATGCTTCAGCTTCTCCCCACTCAACAATGCTGGTACCTTAGCCCTGAGGACACTGCTCTAGGGGCACTGGAGAATGCAGTGGGAGGTGCCATCGACACTCCCGGTGTGCAGAGAAAGCTGTTTATCTGCATTGGACACAAGGCGCTCTCACCGTTCAGTAGATCTCTGGCAGCAACGCCGGGGTAGACAGCTTGGCACCAGCCCCCTGGCTTGTATAACACAGCTGCTTAGGCAATGCTCACTCCCACTAGTGTGGTCTGCTGTGAAAGAGGAACAACTCTGGTTCCGGATGGCTGTGAAGGCAAAGGTTAGTGGGGGATTTATTCAGAGCCCTGTGCAGATCAGATTCTCCTGCAAACCAGGATCAAAGGCAAGAGAATGTCAAGGCCACAGCTGGTCACAGTGGTGTTCCACAGGAGCTCGGTCATGATGGGTGGCCATGGGATGCTTTCCTGGAGGGCACGGCACAGCGCTACACCGCCTCTGCTCACACCCTCATGCGCACACACACTGTGCACTAATGCCCTGCGCTCGCAATGTCAGCTCCACGCAGCGTTCAGCTCTTCGGGGTGACGAGGCATCCACAGACAACAGGGAACTGCACAGCTCAAGCCATGTCCCAGGAGTACAGAGCGGGGATTCAGCTAATAATGGGGCGTGGCCAGGGGTTGTTAATTCACCATGGATCCTTGGCTCCAGGGCCAGAATGCCGAGCCAGACCAGCCTGCTGAGGCTGCACTTTCTGGGTGGGAGGAAGGTCACGCGCTCAAGGAGGAAGAGTCTGCCCATGCAGGCTCCTCAATCATGATAACGGAAACAGTTTCTCTCTGCTTCCAGGCACCTGCAATGGGAGTTCTGCCAGAGATATCCAGCCACAGTCCCCTGACCCAGGGCCCTACTCCCCTAGACATTGTGAGCCAGGCATGTCCACAAGTGCCCCTGAAGCTTTGCCATCCCGGCTTGGGTGCTTTGCTACAGGCCATGGGGTTTGTCCAGAGCAGGGTGGCAGGGCACCTGGCAGTGTTGCCAACTCACAAGTCTTGCCATATTTGTTTTTGTCTCTGAAAGCCCCAGCTTCTGGCATCAGGAGATGGCACGAGAATCTTAGTTTGCATTAAAAAAACAAGAAGAAAGTTTCCAGCCCTCATGGTTTGTAGAGAAAAGCTTGAAAATGTGCCACAAGTGAAATCTGTAGGCTGAGAAAGCAGAAGGCAAATTAAAAATAGATGTATATAAAAACCCCTCATGTTTTAAATCAATCCCATCATTTCCGGGAGCCAGACTCATGATTCTTGAAAGTTTGGGGTTGGCAACACGGCAGATAGCACCCTGCTGGGAATTTTAGCAACCTCCAGCATTTGGGCCACACTGGTATCTCTTGGTTTCCACTGAGAACCAGCCCAAGAACCAGCAACCCAACAGACCCATTGCTCCGGCAGGGAAGACAGCACTTTGCCACCCAGCTGGTGGTCTCTGCATCTGGGGCAGAGCTGGCAAGACTCCCTCAGTGTTTTGCCACCCAGCTGAGACATGGGGCACTCAGGGAAGTTTTCTGGGGGCAGGAGAGGGAGACCAGATTGCGCTTCCCAGCTCTGCAGATGATTTGTTGTGCAGCTTTGGGCAGGTCACACAAACACTCGGTGCCTTAATTTCCACATTGGCCCTCATGGGGGTGTTGTGAGGCTTCACTGCCTCTAAGACATGTGCTTTGCAGGTGGACGGTGGGGTAGAGGGGCAAAGCACTTAGCAGTGCTGTCCCTGGGTCTAGCTTGTCCCCAGAGTTATATGGTCATTGAGGGAACAGGGAAATAATTTGCAGGGGGTGGAGGGCATTTAAAAATGGCTGCAGCAGAAAGACACCTTCCTGCTGAGAGGGAGGTGGATTGGGGCAGTTCCCATCCAGAGAAGCACCCAGCTTTGCCTCCTGAAACACAGTCTTAGAAAGGCCACAGAGTGAGCAGCCCTGCAGAGCTCCTCGGCAGCCTGCAGTAGTCTGGAGGGGTTGGAGGGGAATCTGAGGAAGGATGGCAAGGACAGCAAGCTAGGAACTGAGATCTGTTTCTGACTGCATCCCCCTGCCCTTCCCCAGGTGGTCACGGTGGCCGTTTACAGCTTCTTCCTGGCCTGCCTGATTGGCCGGCAGTTCTTGGACCCAGAGAAGGGGTATCCTGGCCATGAGCTGGATCTGTTTGTGCCTGTCTTCACACTCCTGCAGTTCTTCTTCTATGCTGGCTGGTTAAAGGTGAGTCCAAGGAAACATGCCCTGACCTTCTGGGAGCCTTCTTTCCCCAACATGGGAAGCCTGGAATTGATTCCAGACCCAGGCAGGAGTTTCTCAGATCGCTCTGGGGGACATCCCACTGTCCGAGTGATCCAGCACTGCCATACAACAGGCTCACATTCAAGTCCCAGTGCTTAGCTTTCTCCATCTAGGCCAGCAGAGGCTGAGGGCACTGCCAGGGTCTTCCCTGTATCTGAGTGCATCTCCTTGCAGGAGATCTGGATTCACATCCTAAGCCCAGGGACCTATCACTGGGGCCTGAGCAGCTGGTGAGTGCTCTGAGGCAGTGGGCTTCATTGGCCCTGAGGAGAATTTTTCTGTGGCCCTGAGGAGAATTATCTCTGTGGCTGAATCCAGGAGTTACAGTGACTGATTGAGGGGAGGCCTGGCTTCCTCCTCCTCAGCTGCAAGGCTAATGGAGTGTAACAGAGCAAACAGCAAACACACATTAGCACTAACTGTCCCAGAAGCCACAGGGCAGCTAATCTTCCCTTTTCAACTCCCTCACTGCGGCTGATTGGAAGAAGAAATGTAGCTGAAAGGTACTTCCCAGGCCGAGTGCTGGAGCACAGGGTCCCAGTGGCCCTGCAGGTGGCCCCCCCGGGAAGGGGGTTTGAACCCTTGCCATGTGCTCTCAATGTGCAGGTGGCTGAACAGCTCATCAACCCGTTCGGAGAGGATGATGACGATTTTGAAACCAACTGGCTCATCGACAGGAACCTGCAGGTAACGGTGGGACCTGATCCCACACGGCAGGACCATCAGAGATGAGAGCGGAGATAGGGTAGCACTCAGGGACTGAGCAGACTCACGGCTCCAGGTCTCCAAACACAAGGAGAGAGGTCACGTGGCACCTCTTCTCTATCCTCCCTGGTTCCTGCTCTGCGCTGCAGACAGCATAACATTAGGGCAGGGCACTGAGTGTCGGGGGTGGGGGATCTGCATGCTTGATGAAGCAGCCCGGCTCCTTGTTCCCTCAGTAGCCGAGGAACCAGCCCACGTGCATGGAAGATTATGGGACAAGATCTGCCACACCACTGAGCATGTGACTTTCTGCATATGCTGCTCCAGCTACATGATGGCTGGCGAAAGCGCGAGAGGGGCTGTGTCCCTGCATGCTCCTCCTGTGTCCTTCTCTATCCAGCCCGTGCTCATGTTTAAGGCTTTACGTGACTTGTCTATGTCTCACTGCACTCCCACTGCTGCATTGTGCTGTGCCATTCTGGCCCCTTCTCCCCTCAATGACCTTGTGCCTTTTCCACACAGATTCTTGGGCCTAGAACAGTCTCCCTCCGACTGGGGACCAAGCAACAAACTCCACCTTCTAATCCCTCCTAAAATACACCGTTCTGTACTCCAAATAGTGACTCCCTCACTTTCCCCTTCGCTCCAATTTAAACAACATTGTATACATAAAGAACAACCCTAGTAACTAACAATCCATGTACCAAACCCAGCTGCTTATTCATTGGGTGCTTTCCTGTTGCATCCCTTCCCTAGTCAGATTGCAAACTCTTTGGGGAAGAGAATTTGTTCTCTTAAATGAAGGTACTGCACCATGCAGAATGATAATTTTACCCCCTTGAATCTGACATTCCCATCATCCCCTGCAGGTCTCCCTTCTCGCTGTGGATGACATGCACCAGGATCTGCCCTTCATGGAGAAGGACCTGTACTGGAATGAGTCCTACCCCCAGCCACCCTACACCGCAGCCACTGCTGAATATAAGCGAACATCATTTCTTGGCTCAACCTTTGACATTAGGTGAGTGAAGCTTTCCTGCCACATGAAATTACCAATGGAGGCCAGATTTACACTCCATCCCAAGGCCACAGTGTGTTGAATTATCTCTGGACTTTACCAATGCTCTTCTAGGAAGGCAGCAGTTCTTCCCCGGCCACAAATGTCCCCCCGCTGGAGTTCAGTGTTTCTCAAATCTTCCTTTCCATGTGAAATCATGGTAAGAGATTGTGGCTATATAGCCCAGAGAGAGAGAGATTTAACTTCCTTAGTCAAAACATGTGTGTGTTTGCATCGCTTTGTGTGTAATGATGCCTCTGCCTGTCTCCAACACGAGTGTCCACAACAATGTGCCTGTTACTGCTCCCCATAGCAATACAGAGGAAGACATCAGGGGCTGAGGTTTGCCAGTGCTTGCCCTGTGCTGCAATCCTCCCCCCTAAGCTTCACTGATCTCCACTCACTGTTCTAGTGGAAGGCAAAAGTCCATTCAGCAAGGTCCTTCCTACACTCTCTGGAGGAAAATTCCATCCAGAATTCATAGTCACTGTACATAACAGCCTGTTTTGCCTCTTCCCAGCATGCAGAAAGAAGAGATGGAATTTCAGCCGCTGGAGCAAATTAAAGAGAACGAGGAGGCGAACCACTCTACACCACTGCTGGGACATCTGGGCCGCCTGCTGGGGGTCCAGTCACCGAGTTTCTCCAGGTCATCCTCCCGGATGAACCTGCCACGCAAGAGGAATGACCCCTTGTCCCCCTTCCCTCATTACTTGTACCAGGATGTAGGGAAATCTGGAAGCCCCTGCAGTGCCAATCAGCAAAAGGGAGACTCCTCCCACCCAGGCTCCAGTTCACATGAGCAATGGGACAATGAAGACCGAAAACTGAGAGAGTTTGATGCCTTCATGTCAACCCCCTTCTTTGAGAGACCTGGCTTTTATAGCGCTCCACAGACACCAATCAGCTCCATCCCGCTGATCTTCCCATCCAGGCGCCCAGGACGCAAGAAGCCCCCTGCTCTCTCCAGCATTGTGGCCTGTTCGACTTCAATGAGAGACAACTTTGCCAACCTGTCACCTTCCAGGGCTACTGATGTGGACAAAAGCCAGAGCTCCCTTGGTTCTGCAGTTAAGGAAACTTTTGTTTGGCCAGGAGAGCGAGAAAAAGCCCCAGACTCCCTGGTGGTGACAGTAGAGGAAGGAGAGAATAACACGTTGAACAATAAAATGAATGAGGTCGCCCCTGTTAGGAGCCCAGGGCTTCAATCAATAGTGTCGGAAAGCCCCAAGTTTCCCTTCCTAGCAGAGGCCCCAGACCATGAAAAACAGGGCAGCTTCAAGAGCTTGAAGAGTCTGAAAGGCCGCCGACATCCCTGGCAAACTCTAGAGAACGTAACACCAGCAGCCACCCCAAACTCGGATAATCATAGCAACTTTCATACTCCCAGCATGAGAACCCCTGGTGGCAGTGGGCCCCTCTTCTTTTCATTCACCCCCGTGACATCCCCAGTGCTGGAGAGGTCGCGCTTAGGGAACTCAGGCACTGTTCCTAGTCCAAGCTCAGATGATACATCCAGTGCTCCAGTCCAGGCTTCCATAGAGGTTTCTGGGACTGGAAGAGAGACAGGGAATGGAAATGCTAGTGCTCACCACACTGAGGAACAGAGAAGAGCAGAGAGTCCCTCACCTAATGACTCCGGTATCTCCTTAGCAGAGGGTGACTACGTGGGACTGATGGAGGTGATCATGGAAGCCAGTGAGAACGTGTCTGATGAAGGGAAGGTGGATAGATACAGCTAAATGAAGAGACCAGTTGATTCCTTCTGACTGCTGAGATACCCACCCTGTTAAGAATACTGCAGTGTCTTTACACCAAACAATATTGGTGCTCAAGACATATAGAGCTTCTACAAAGAGGCAATACAACCATACCAGCCATGTACTGCCAAAGGGTGGAGCTTCAGTACCTGATGGCCTGAACTTGTTCCCAGCGTGAGTTTACTAGCGATGAACATGGTGCAATAAAGCATACAAGAACAGTTCATGGAACTTCAGTGTCACACCTTTGGGAATACCTATACAATTAAAGCAAAAAATTTTATAAAATTCTTCATAAAGTGCAAGTACCTGAGAATGGAGCAACATAGGCCACCAGCCGTTTGGCAACTTGGGCACAGACACAGATTAACTCAGAAGCCTGTTTCCTAAATATGCCTGGAATGTTGACCCATCTTACAAAACCACACCACCACTCAGCTGGTGTCTGGTGACTCGCTGGTGTCTGCCACAAGAGACCCAATAACAAGTGCAGTGGGATATTTGTAAACATTAGAAATGTGGTAAAGTTTGGGGAGGAAGAGAGGAGGAAAGGGCTGAATAGCTATGGGGCAGGTGATTTCATTAGACTGGAGGTAGCTGATTGTGTCTAGGATTCGACTCAGAGGAGATGAGCATAACAAAGCTTAGTATTGCTTGCACAGTCCAACTGTTTCTCCACCCCTGAAGTATTTTGCCCCTCCTCTACTTCCCCACACCAATTAATCCAAGTGCTTTGAGGAGTGTGTTAGCACTCTTGTTTTTTTTTAAAAGAAAATAGAAGGGGGGGAGAGGAGTTTATATGGCAGATTTCAAAAATATTCTGAATGGAAAACCCCTTAGTCAGAATCTTATTCTAAAGTGCACTCTGACAAACAACACAAGCTGAGGTCAAACAACAGGTGCTCTACTTCCTCATTGCAGTTTCAAGAAAGCACATCAGTGAACAGAAGCTAGGGATGACTGCTCTCTCCTTCCCCACAGCCCTGCTTTAGGAGAATAGCCAGAAGCCTCTTATCTACTGATCAAAGCCCCCAGGCAGAAATTAGTTCATGCAGGTTTTCCATTTTAAGACACCCCTCCCACACACACCTTTGTTGCACCCATTTTGCTAGCTACAGAAGCCGTTGCATTTCAGACACCAATCACAATACTTTCTAGAAGCTTTAAGCATTATTCAGAACAGCAGATTACTGTAAAGACAGGCTGATGAGCTTTCTAGAGATCAAATGAGTGAAGTGTTGTTCTGCAGTATGTACTTGGAGAGATTTGTGCTTCAGAACCCACAGCCCTGATACAGTTCCTCAGTTTACACTGAATGGTGCTGGTGTTCCAGAGGATGTGGTGTCTTCCCCTGTGTATGTGTATATATATATCCTAAAGACACTCAGGAGCTCTCACTGACTCTGCTTGCCCTTCATCTAAACTAAACTGAAGTATGGCACTCCTTTCCCTGGAGGAAGTCTTTAGAGGCAGCCTGAGAACCTCCTGCTGAAGAATATTAGTCCACACTTCTTCCATTCTCTGCTTGTCATGTAAGCATTTGAAGTGCTTAGCTTTTCTTCCCCATGCCTTTTCAGCACAGCAAGCTAGCTAATAATGCAAGGTGTTTCTCAAAGCTTTGGGGGTGGTATCTAGAGAGGGGTCAGGGCATAAACATTTGAGTAGAAGAGCAGAGACTGTTGTTGTTCTTTGGCCACTTTCTTTATGATGAGCTTCCCCATTGTAGCTTTTAGCTAAGTCTTCTATGCACACAAACACCCCCTCCAGTGTATACTCATGGACTAATCCCTACAGTAGGGATTAAGTGGGGAGGCATTCCCTACCCCTGAGTCATAGTCTGTGATCTGTGGTGAGCCTAAAGGAACAGTGCCCAGTCAATGATGCCAGATCTGCCCCCACTAATGTATTCACACAGCTGACCCCCATTCTGAAATGGGTCATCACAGGGTAAATCAGGAATATGCTGTGAAACCTCCAAATGTAGGATTCACTCCCACATTACAGTGCAAAGCAAATAAAACAAACTTGAAACAAGTCACTTTAATGGATGTAAGGTGTTACAAACACAAAGAAACAAAGGTGAGATTTTTTGGTACAGAATGACATTATCCAACAGTAGATGCATGCACTGCTGGGCAGCAAGCTAGGAGACCTACTGAAACCCATGGGTGGCCTATCCTGAGGCTTTAGTTCTCACTGTCACTGTCCCCCAGGGTGTGCTTGTCAAAGAGGTACTCTGCCATCCCATATTTGGGTGCCCCCATCTTGCGCAGGTTGGTCACATGCTCACCCAGCTCTTTGATGGCCTTCACCTGCTCATCCAGGTAGTGGGTTTCAATGAAGTCACACAACTAAAGAGGGGAGAAGACAGTTAAGTCAGTATTATTTATTCAGCCAATGGGAGGCCTTGACAGAATCAAAGAATGGAAAGTGCCAGAACCCAAGATCCAGAGGGAGCATGGCACTACCTCCTAAGCCAGTGTGTTAGGCGGAGGGGGGGCTGATTTCTTACTACATGTTTCTTCCTCAGGGGGAGAAAAAGAACTGCCCCTCCCCCCCTTAAGACAGGGTTATACTCTTGAACCACCAGAGGAGAAAAGCCTTTGATTTACCAGAGACACCAAAACATCTCAAATTATTCTAAGTGGAAGATCCCAGATCACCTATACATAGGCACATCCCAGTGCCCAGTAGTATACTGATAGGGCTGCTGTTTTTCAGGGTTTATTTTTAGTAAGTTGAGTTGTGTTTGTCTAAAGTTTTAAGGTTTTTAGAGCTTGTGTGAATACCTTACTCATTAAGAAAAGGAGTACTTGTGGCACCTAGAGACTAACAAATTTAAAAGCTTATGCTCTAATAAATTTGTTAGTCTCTAGGTGCCACAAGTACTCTCTTTTTGCAGATACAGACTAACACCGCTGCTACTCTGAAACCTGTAATTACTCATTAAGGTACATACAAAATTACAGTATACATTACTGTAATCAGTAATCTTTGTAATGTGTGCTGTTTCAAAACAAGATCTTTAGTATGCAGCAGCAAGGTCTACACAGACTAATTAATGCACAATATAGTGTACTTTAGTAATCACACCTCTGTACTCCACATACAGCTCTGTGCACAAAAGCCCTTAGATACCAGAAATGATTGTGTTTACTGGATAAATACCAGTTTCATTTTTGGAATCAGGATGTTTTATACTGACATCATAACCAACTCTAAAGCAGCTTTCACCACAGCTCAAGACTATGCTAGAGTCACTTTCACCTTCCATTATTTCTAGCTATGGAAGCCTCCTGTAGTATTTACATTTCTAACCTTTACTATTTATACCCTTTGAATACTTCAATTGTTCATGTTTTCTTAAAATAACTAAAGGCAACTAGGTACATTTAAAAGCATTTACTCAATCCCCTGATCTTGTTGCTTGCCCCTGAATTTCTACAATGGAATCTCAGAAGATTTTCATAACACATGTGCCTGCATCATTAAATCAACTTCTTCCCACTCCCCTCCAAATTCTGTTTAAGTTTCCAGCTGTGAGGAGTCTCCATAAAGTTGTATTATTCACAGGAGACCTGCAGTTTTTCAGACATGAATTCAGGATTCACAGCTACTTTTACCTCCCATGCATAAGAGCAGCCCAAAGCTTCATGGGTATCTTAGAGACAGCTATTAGATGCATATTAAGCTAAGAATCAGAATGAATCCACAGCCAGTCACCAGGCTACTGAGATGAGGAAGAGCATCTTTGCCAGCAGGCTGGCTAACCTAGTGAGGAGGGCTTTAAACTAGGTTCACCGGGGGAAGGAGACCAAAGCCCTGAGGTAAGTGGGAAAGCGGGATACCGGGAGGAAGCACAGGCAGGAATGTCTGTGAGGGGAGGGCTCCTGCCTCATACTGGGAATGAGGGGCGATCAACAGGTTATCTCAAGTGCTTATATACAAATGCAGAAAGCCTTGGAAACAAGCAGGGAGAACTGGAGGTCCTGGTGATGTCAAGGAACTATGACGTGATCGGAATAACAGAGACTTGGTGGGATAACTCACATGACTGGAGTACTGTCATGGATGGTTATAAACTGTTCAGGAAGGACAGGCAGGGCAGAAAAGGTGGGGGAGTAGCACTGTATGTAAGGGAGCAGTATGACTGCTCAGAGCTCCGGTACGAAACTGCAGAAAAACCTGAGTGTCTCTGGATTAAGTTTAGAAGTGTGTGCAACAAGAGTGATGTAGTGGTGGGAGTCTGCTATAGAACACCGGACCAGGGGGATGAGGTGGATGAGGCTTTCTTCCGGCAGCTCACGGAAGCTACTAGATCGCATGCCCTGATTCTCATGGGTGACTTTAATTTTCCTGATATCTGCTGGGAGAGCAATACAGCGGTGCATAGACAATCCAGGAAGTTTTTGGAAAGCGTAGGGGACAATTTCCTGGCGCAAGTGCTAGAGGAGCCAACTAGGGGGGGCGCTTTTCTTGACCTGCTGCTCACAAACCGGGTAGAATTAGTGGGGGAAGCAAAAGTGGATGGGAATCTGGGAGGCAGTGACCATGAGTTGGTTGAGTTCAGGATCCTGACGCAGGGAAGAAAGGTAAGCAGCAGGATACGGACCCTGGACTTCAGGAAAGCAGACTTCGACTCCCTCAGGGAACGGATGGCCAGGATCCCCTGGGGGACTAACATGAAGAGGAAAGGAGTCCAGGAGAGCTGGCTGTATTTCAAGGAATCCCTGTTGAGGTTACAGGGACAAGCCATCCCGATGAGTCGAAAGAATAGTAAATATGGCAGACGACCAGCTTGGCTTAATGGTGAAATCCTAGCGGAACATAAAAAAGAAGCTTACAAGAAGTGGAAGGTTGGACATATGACCAGGGAAGAGTAACAAGAAGGGTTTCTTCAGGTATGTTGGCAACAAGAAGAAAGCCAAGGAAAGTGTGGGCCCCTTACTGAATGAGGGAGGCAACCTAGTGACAGAGGATGTGGAAAAAGCTAATGTACTCAATGCTTTTTTTGCCTCTGTTTTCACTAACAAGGTCAGCTCCCAGACTGCTGCGCTGGGCATCGCAAAATGGGGAAGAGATGGCCAGCCCTCTGTGGAGATAGAGGTGGTTAGGGACTATTTAGAAAAGCTGGACGTGCACAAGTCCATGGGGCCGGACGAGTTGCATCCGAGAGTGCTGAAGGAATTGGCGGCTGTGATTGCAGAGCCATTGGCCATTATCTTTGAAAACTCGTGGCGAACCGGGGAAGTCCCGGATGACTGGAAAAAGGCTAATGTAGTGCCCATCTTTAAAAAAGGGAAGAAGGAGGATCCTGGGAACTACAGGCCAGTCAGCCTCACCTCAGTCCCTGGAAAAATCATGGAGCAGGTCCTCAAAGAATCAATCCTGAAGCACTTGCATGAGAGGAAAGTGATCAGGAACAGCCAGCATGGATTCACCAAGGGAAGGTCATGCCTGACTAATCTAATCGCCTTTTATGATGAGATTACTGGTTCTGTGGATGAAGGGAAAGCAGTGGATGTATTGTTTCTTGACTTTAGCAAAGCTTTTGACACGGTCTCCCACAGTATTCTTGTCAGCAAGTTAAGGAAGTATGGGCTGGATGAATGCACTATAAGGTGGGTAGAAAGCTGGCTAGATTGTCGGGCTCAACAGGTAGTGATCAATGGCTCCATGTCTAGTTGGCAGCCGGTATCAAGTGGAGTGCCCCAAGGGTCGGTCCTGGGGCCGGTTTTGTTCAATATCTTCATAAATGATCTGGAGGATGGTGTGGATTGCACTCTCAGCAAGTTTGCAGATGACACTAAACTGGGAGGAGTGGTAGATACGCTGGAGGGGAGGGATAGGATACAGAGGGACCTAGACAAATTGGAGGATTGGGCCAAAAGAAATCTGATGAGGTTCAATAAGGATAAGTGCAGGGTCCTGCACTTAGGACGGAAGAACCCAATGCACCGCTACAGACTAGGGGCCGAATGGCTAGGCAGCAGTTCTGCGGAAGAGGACCTAGGGGTTACAGTGGACGAGAAGCTGGATATGAGTCAGCAGTGTGCCCTTGTTGCCAAGAAGGCCAATGGCATTTTGGAATGTATAAGTAGGGGCATAGCAAGCAGATTGAAGGACGTGGTCGTTCCCCTCTATTCGACATTGGTGAGGCCTCATCTGGAGTACTGTGTCTAGTTTTGGGCCCCACACTAGAAGAAGAATGTGGATAAATTGGAGAGAGTCCAGCGAAGGGCAACAAAAATGATTCGGGGTCTGGAACACATGAGTTATGAGGAGAGGCTGAGGGAGCTGGGATTGTTTAGCCTGCAGAAGAGAAGAATGAGGGGGGATTTGATAGCTGCTTTCAACTACCTGAAAGGGGGTTCCAAAGAGGATGGCTCTAGACTGTTCTCAGTGGTAGCAGATGACAGAACGAGGAGTAATGGTCTCAAGTTGCAGTGGGGGAGGTTTAGATTGGATATTAGGAAAAACTTTTTCACTATGAGGGTGGTGAAACACTGGAATGCGTTACCTAGGGAGGTGGTAGAATCTCCTTCCTTAGAGGTTTTTAAGGTCAGGCTTGACAAAGCCCTGGCTGGGATGATTTAACTGGGAATTGGTCCTGCTTCGAGCAGGGGGTTGGACTAGATGACCTTCTGGGGTCCCTTCCAACCCTGATATTCTATGATTTATCACTCTAAGCATTATTTTCAGTCAGCTTTCCAGAAATACGTTCAGATAGATGTTCTCTGCTGTTGAAAAAAGCCAGCTCCCTCAAGACACAACTGGAGTAAAGGGTTGCAAGACAGCCTAATGCCACCCATGTGCACACCACAGTGGTTTATCAGCCAATTCAACAACCCATCAGTTCTGTCAATGTTTTTCATAGGACTGAGTGGATGTTTACATTAACTGTAGGAAAGGGGCTAAGATACAGGCTGCCCTCCTTCAAAGGAAGACGCTCCACTCTGAATTTTACCCCTTCCTCAGGTTTGGGGCAAATTCCAGCATGT